TCTCAAGTTTGCAATCCAACTTCTCAAGTTATTCTATAAGACTAATAATGTTCAGAACAAGTGGTCCAACCTTATCACTTCCACTCAATGTTGACCTAAACAAGGCCTTAAACAACTGGTATCCAGCTTTCCTACTCTGTGAACCATACATCTTCTTAAGATGATTCATGATAGTTGATGGATTCATATAATCATGTTGTCTTTAGAGTTTTGAACTCATTGACACTAATATGATGCATTTTGCATTCATGCAAACCTCTAAGTATTTTTTATAAGTGTTATCATCTTCTTTGTCTTTTGGTTCAGACACAGGAGGTTTTTTTATCATATAAATAAGTTCTCTTGCATTAGAACAATTCTCAAATTTCGATACTAATATAGTGATAAAAAAAACGTCATAAAGAACATTATCATTTATCTTCGAGAATTACCCGATTAATAGATAAATAAGAGAAAAATAATCAACATAAAAATATAACGTGAATACTCCAATCACGACTGTTATCTAATGATAACCATATAATAACATTATATGAAAATTTTTATAACACATAGATAAGTCTCTCATGCCCTTGACCACAAGTACACTCATCCTCTCTAAAGCAAGAATTTAAACTAAACTTCACACCACTCTACTACAAGAGTATAAGAAAAGTTAAATACAAGATTAAAGTGTCTTTAATTGAGGTGAGAAACCTCATAAACTTTAAACACATTATATAATTACTATCGCTCACTTCATTTCTTATCCAATGTGATGTAGGACTTTCTTGTCACCAACCAACTTTTCATCGACAAGAATTGATCATAACAACAAAATAGATATATCCCGATATATAATAAAAATAAATATGTTAATACATATAAAATGTTTATCACATGAAAAATTCTACAACTTATTATAATAATAATTTAAGAAATCAATATTTCTTTCCGTAAAAAATATAATATAAATTTCTTAACAATTATAATAACAATTTAAGAAATCAACGGAAAATATAATATAAATGTCTTAACAACAGTAATAAGTAGCCCCTTGTTTTGTCAGTTGCATCTACAGTACAATTTAATTAATCTCTACACTCCCTAGGTTGTCTAGGCAATTAGTGAAAAATTAATTAAAAATTTACATCAAATGCTCGGTTAATCCTTTTAATTACAAGTCCCCTGGTAATCAGGTCGTCTCTTGAAATTAATAATTAACATGTTCTAAGATAGAATATATCTCATACAAAATATATTAGAAATAAATAAATTAATATTTGAAACATTAAATTTCATCATATAAAATTGTTATCAATTTATATATCATGTATAGATTAAATACTTATATATAAATCTAATTTATATATCAGTGTGCTAATTAAATTAATCCCAATTAAGATTAGTATCATGAATGAAGAACACAATTTCCATTCCATACGTGCAGTTAATAACATAAACAAATCGACTTTGATCACTCGCAAAATGGTACCAATACTGCAACGAAAGAAAGTATATACCATTTACATATAACAGTAACAAAATAACGTAAAATCGATAACTCGTGATGTACCATGTGATCTCACCATCACATGATTACATTTTTCATATATGTAAACTCATCCCAAATATATCAAAACAAGAAATGTAGAATATGAACGATTCTTGAATTTAATTATAATTAAATATATTGATTCCAGAACTAGTAATAATTTAACAGCATAAACTAACCACAAATAATCAGGCTCTGTACCAAAATGTGATCTGGGGAAAATAATGTATGAACAGATCAGCAAATGCAATGAATATATATGGAGTTTGAAGAAGTGAGATCTGAAAAGTATGAAGAAAATGTGGAGATGTTATAAGGTTGCAATGTTCATGAAGCCGTTGCAACTTTGTCATCCATGGATGCATTATCACCATCACTGTGGTGCTACTCATATTCACACAATATAATATAAAGCTTACAAATGCTGACATCGACGTTTTCGGAAAGATTTCATTATTACAAAACTGTGAGATTATTGCGATTTTATATTTGTTATAATAATATTATTAAAATTAATTTGAAATATTCTCCATTTCAAAGTTTTCTTATCCATCCCAGTTATCTAATTATATTCTCTATAACATAATACTATTATGGAGTTCCAATAATATATTTTTTTATAAACTAAAAATTATGACATTATGAAACTAATCTATTACATAAGTATAAATCTAGAGTTTGGTGATTGCACTCACCACTTTTAGAAAAAATTATTATGTTAATAAATCATAAATTATTATTGATATGTTTTTTACAGTAATCATTAACGAAATTAAGGAAACTTAGTTTACATTATTATTAATTACTAGATAATCATACAAAAGTATGACCCAATTTTTAAAGTTAAATAGTTTAACTTTTTTTAGACTTTTTCATCCAAATAAGTTAAAAATATTTATATGATCAAATTTTTAAAAAATTACCAACAGCATTTAATCGTATTACATTATATGATTTTAAATAAAGAAATCGTTAGACGTAAAATGATTTTACAATAAAAAAAATTAAAATCATCTTTTTTAATTAACTCAACGTAAATTTTGTATTTTTTTATAATTGAATTAATTTTATTAAATAAATATATTGGTTAAAAAATTATAATTTATTTATTATTATATATTTATATTATAAAATATTATATTATTTATTTATTTTATTTATATCAATTAATACTTTTTATAAATTTTGTATAAATAATAAAAGTAAAAAAATATATTAAATAAAAAATAAATTTATTTTCAAATTTAAATTATGTTATATTATTTATTTTTAAATTATTAATATATATTTTTACAATTATTTTACAATAAATTAATTTTTTTAGATAAATATATTATTTAAAAAATATATAACTTTTTTATATAAATATATTTATATATATTTTAGAAGTTATAAAATATTATATTAATTATTTATTTTATTTATATTAATTATTATTTTATGTAAACTTTGTATAAGTAATATATAAATAACAAAATTAATATATATATAAATAAATTTATTAATACATTTATTTTTTATTTAAAATATTTTTTACTTTTATTATTTATACAAAATTTATATAAAATAATAATTAATATAAATAAAATAAATAAATAATATAATATTTTATAAAATAAATATATAATAATAAATAAATTGTTAATTTTTTAAAGGATTAAGTATGTTTTTAGTCTCTGTAATTTTACGTGAAATTGGAAATAGTCCTTCGTCAAAGTTCACATGAAAATGATACTTGTACTTTTGAAATGATTGGAATAAGTTCCTATTTTAAACGACGTTAAATATATGGTAATATGTCTAACGAGAGATAGTATGAATCATTTATTATTTAACACTTGTAATTATTTAAAAAAAAAAAAGCAAAACTCTTCTTTAAAAAAATAGAAATTATTCAACCGAGATTATTATTTAAAAAAAAACAAAAAAACAAAATTAATTATCTCTTTTGAATAATTTATATTTTTTTTAAGAAGAGTTTTTTTTTTTAATAATTACACGTATCAAATAATGAATGAGTCATATTATCTCACGATAGACATGTCACCATATATTTAACGCCGTTTAAAATAGGAACATATTCCAATCATTTCAAAAATATAGGAATTATTTTTATGTGAACTTTGACAAAGATTATTTCTAATTTCACATGAAAATACAAGTACTAAAAACATGTTTAACTTTTTTTAAATAATATATTTAATAAAATTAATTTTATTATTAAAAAAACTTACCTAATAGGTTTTAGCTTTATAAAAAGAATAAAATTACACTGAAATTATTTTAAAAAGCATTATTTTAATTTTTTTATCGTAAAATCGTTTTATGTTACATTTGTAATCATTATGATAATTTTTAAAAAATTTGACCCATAAAATGCAAATATTTTTAACCATCTTCATAAAAAAAAACACTTTTTTAATTATATAAAAACTTTTATACTATTCATTAGTCAACTCCATAATAAAAATTAGTATAATATATACTTTTATTTTTTGTTACAATAGATATTAAATAAACTATATCATCATGTCATAAAAAGGTTTTTTTTTCTACCTTGATTCTTTTAGAAAGATGTTATGAAGTCATCCAACAATCACAACATTTACCTGCTTACATAAATTGTAACACAACTTTTAAATATAAGTTATTTAATACTATATTGTCATAGATAAGGAGAAAATATTAGTTTAAATCTTAAGTCAAAAGAATTTTCAAATCATTGTGAATTAATTCCAATATTAATTTATATACATGAAGGGAAAAGTTGAATTTCAATTTACTATTTTAATAATCTTGAAAAGATAAATTAATCTGATTTTTTGTCTTTTACTGCTGTCAAATGACAATTATTAATTTTTAACGTGACATGTTCATTTTTTAAACTTATAATTCAAATTAAGTAAATCTGTTCTTTTTTATCAAATAAATTTTATTAGAATTAAAAGAATCCAAATAAAGCTAAATTAAATATTTGTATATATTTTTCTCGAAAATTAAATCAATTTAATCTTATCCGTAAATATTAGAACTAAGATAAAATTATTTTTAAAATATACGAATTATGATTGAAAATTGAAAATTTAAAATTTGAAAATGATTTCGATTTATAATTTTCTCATCTCATTCTAAGGTGATGATGTTAATCAATAATTTTAATATCATGGTTATAGTTTTCCAATTATTAATTAATGATTAATGTTATACTATTGTTTAAATTTTATTTTTTACTAAGTTATTTATTTATTTAATATATTCAAAAAATAACCTTAATTTTGGAGAAATTATTTACATCGACTTTTCACTTTATATATCAAGAGACATCCTTATATAAAATGCATTAAGATAATGTAATTTTACTTTAAAGAATGTCTTATTGTCTCCAACATCCATCAGAAAGAATGTTTAAATGTTGGTTAAGATTTGTTCCCTTATTATGCTTACAAAAAGAAAAAATATATACATATTACACTGCATTGTCACTGCCTATTGAAATTCCTCCTACACGAGATGAAGAAGCACTTGTGTTGACCATGTCATTCTCATCATGCACCATGCATACAGGAGCATCATCTACCAATGTCACGTCATGTTGTTGAATAACCAATATTGATGAGAACACTTGGTGTTCTGATGAAGTTAAAACATCTCCAATAGGACCTAACTCAGCATGCTCTGGTTTCCTTTCTGCCAATCCAGCCACCATATTTGATGGGAATCGACCCTTTCCAACAATTATGAGATCATAATCCCCACTTTTTCCTATTACTAATACGTCTTCCACAATGTTTTCGCAAAACTTCTCAATGTATTCGACCATGTCATTCAACTTGCTTTGAAACTCTTTGATTGACATCTCATCCAACTCCTGTAATCAACCCTTTTATATTGTCAGTGACATAATATGGTCATGCAGAAGAAAGACACAATTTTTATCTAGTAAGGATCTACCAATGGGTTGAGAAATTCATTAAGAATGTTATTCAACAATGTTTGGAAATCTAAATGTATAACTTGAGCCTATCATGTAAATTGTAAGTGTTTTAGAGCGTTACCTTTTCTCTCTGGGGGTTCATTTTAGCAGTGGAGAAGCTGTAACTATCGTGATTGTTTTTGTGAGGTGAGAAGCTTAACACAACGTTATTCTTGTCCAACCCATTCTTTTCAATAAACCTTACAATACTTACTTTAACTGTTGGGTGTTCAAGCATCTTCTTCCCCAACTCTAGAGCCTCACGATCATCCGGGCCACCGAAGAAGATGATGCACACTCGTTGGGACACAATGGAACTTGAGCTTGAAGTTTGAGGCAAATTACCATATCCACGATCCACAAGCACGACCACCGAGCAAGGTGCATTGTTAAGTACCTTTTGGTTCACCACTCTCCACTCGTGGCTTGCATTTTCCAACACCTGATATCTCTCGTTATTCTCGTTCACTTCTGTCCTCCACTGTTTGTGAAAGGGCAAAATAATCATGGTCACCATTTTCTCCTTTGCAACGTGGCAGATGTCCTCATGCATGGTGGAGAGAGAAGACACCGTGGTTGTGGATCGAACATTGACTTGGCCTAGCTGACTGTAGGCTTGAAAAGCTCCTGCAAGTCTGTCATGGCACTCGTCACGATGGGAGCGGTTGAAGAAAGGGAAACCATTCCTACGAGCACGATGAACCATGATGATAGAGGATGAGCGCTCTGTGAGCTCAACAAGATGCATCATGAACAACTTTATTAATGAGTTCTTTGTGCTTCGAGTTGATTCAATCAAATTTATGATTGAAGGGATATTGGCTGGACCATGGAGACAGGCCAAGACTCTGAACTTGTCAACCGTGTCATCCCTAGAACCCACGGAAATGTCACCTAACTTCCGCCGGGTTTTCGTTGACTTCACTCGAGCTGGTTTGTAGATGGCCATCACTATTGGTGTTGTGATGAAGGTAGTGAATAGAGCCATAAGTACTAAAATTGCAAACATTTCATCATTCAAAACCTGAAAAATTAAAGCATGTCGTCCTCATACGTTAAAATAAAAGCATACTTGAGACACACAAATCTAATTCTATCGGAGATGTATAAAGATGGTTTTGGAGGAGTGAATTCGTTTTTTTTTTCAATTTTTAATCTCATTTCAACATGTACTTATTTTCATTGTCCATTTTCTTGTTTAGAAAATGTGGTGAAGTCAGAGAGCACCGACGATTTAATATAAAAATTGAGAATCAATATCAAATATCAACAAAATTACTTCAACAACTTTATTTATTAATAAATAATAATTTTTAATTATTCTTATTTTAAATTAATTATTTCTGTTTTTAAATTAATTACTTTCTAAATATAATATTAATAAACAAAATTATAAAAAATATATTTTTTATCAAAATATCGGTTTTCTTTATTATTTACCTATATCTCAAAAAAATATATCAAAAATTGATATTAACTAAAAATATAATAATATTATAATATATACATTAATTCACATTAAGTATTTCCAATTTATGAGACAATTTTACGTAATTACACTGTCAAACAATCATAAACTATTGGTAATATGACCTTTAACATTGTCACAGTAAAACTCAACAGATTTACTGTAATTGGAGTGTGAATGTTTTATGTTATCTACATAATCTATTTTTGAAATGTAAGCAACGCTAATATTTATTTATCAAACTCAGATATACATTAGATGGAATTGCGTAGGAGAAAGAAGAGGTAGAGAAGGAAGAGTGGAGAAAAAAAAAAAACGAGTCATGATATACATACACCGTATAAGACAAAAACAACGTTGTCAAAAATACTTTTTTCCAAAAAAAAAAAAACTATTAAAATGGATGTCAGGAACCAAGCTCATAAATGTGACACGAAATTTCTAGGATACCATTTTCTTTTGGGCCCACCCGGGAATCAATGAAGTCTTTCTTTTACAACAACATTATTGTTTCATGAATGCACGAGAAAAGTTTAAACGTAAATGGCATGACTAGTCAGAATTTTGATCTCCATCTTTTACAAATTGGCTACTCAACCACAACTGTGTAACAAAAATGTGAGGACAAGGATAAAATACATTTCGGGTTGAGGTGACGATGTTTTGAAAACAATTTTCCCATTCATTATAAAAACTGAAATATTTTACTAAACTCACTACTTTTCTAACCTATATCCTTAACACATAAAATCCACCATGTAATTAAAGTCAAAACATATTAATTGCTTGTATAGCTGGGGTGACTATTTAAAAGAAAGAATTTGTTATAACCATAAGGTAGTCCAAGTTCTATTTTATGCGTAACTAATATTCTTTCTATTAGAATAGAGTAATATTTAGTCATGATTCTATCCACAAACCAAATATTTATTCATCGTTCTTGATAAGAAGAGACAAGACAAGTTATGAACAAAAAAAAAAAGTACCTAACCATGCTTATTCACAATGCTCTTGCATTATGTTGTAGAGTAAATGTATTTTATTCAACGCCGTATTATTCAAAACCAGCGACCTCCCATGATATGGGTAAAGTATGGATGTTGAAAGATTTATATTAACTACAATTTTGTTGGGTACTAAGGAAAAATAATTCTTCACAGACATAATATAATAAAGATAAAGAAATAAATTCAAAAATTAACATATTTTAACATTTTTCTGTCTATATTCACTAATACATTTAATAATTCTTTTTTTCTCAATTTACAATTTTTACAAAAGATAAAATTACAAACTCTGTTGCATTGGAAAATTATAAACCTCTTGTATTTATAAAAAAATTTGCAAACTTAAGATACACTTAAAAACAAACTAGTATGATTGTAATGAATAAAATTAAATTATCATTCCTTCTTTATAATAATAATCTAAAACTTTTCTTCTTCAAAAATTATCTGATGAGATTTTCGACTATATCACACACGGTGCACATAACAAATTTGAATTATTTAAAAATAATATAATTTATAAAGAATAAAAAAAAGGGAAATTTCAACAAGAATAAATAATATCTCGTGACGTCACAGGTTTAAAATTCTGATTGAAAGTGGAGTTTTGGTTGAACGTGTGTATGGACGAAGATTGTTGAGAAGGGAAAAAATAATAAGAAAAGAAAGAAGGTGACCTTTTTCTCCTTTCCAATGTTGAGTACGATGAGTTCAACGAGGCCTTTAGTGTTCATGAGGACGCCAAGCGTGAGCGATTCCCTAGCGGGAATCATGCAGAACATGGCGACCACGAAGGTGCCAAGAATTTTCCCAGCACAAGCGGTGGTTATGACCAGAACCAGCAGCCCCCACGCGGAAGCGCCACGTATGCTAGTTACGTCGGTTTTCAACCCACTAGAGGCAAAGTAGAGTGGGAGCAACAAACCCAAAACAAAATCCTCGATCCTCTCTGTTAGCTTCTTCGCAAAGTTTCCCTCTTTCGGAAGAGTTAACCCGAACACGAACGCCCCGAATATCGAGTGAATCCCGATCAGGTCCGTCATGAACCCCGACACCAACACCCCCGCCAGCGTCAAACAAACGTAAACCTCCCCAACGGCGTCGTTTTCGCCCCTCTTCGCGACCACCTGCATCGCCCGTCGCACAACCACCATCATGAAAACCACGAACGCCAGCCCCGAGAGGAGAACCCACAACGACACCAGAGGACTCTTGTGGGACCCGTTGCCGTCCCCGGCCAGGGCCACTGCCAGCGCCAGTAGAATCCACGCGGCCACGTCGTTGAACGCCGCTGCGGCCATCGCGGTTTCCCCCACGCTCGTGGTGAGGAGCTTCAGCTCCGCCAGGATGCGCGCCAGCACCGGGAATGCGGTGATGGAAAGCGCCACACCCATGAAGACGAGGAACTGCGCGAAGCCGGAGTTATCGGCGCCGTCCACGGTTTTGCGGAGGACGACGGCGACTCCGATGCCGCTGACGAAAGGAACAGAGATCCCCACGGCGGCGATGATGAAGGCTCTTCGGCCGCTCCGGCGAATGGAATGGAGATCGAGCTCCAAACCTACGAGGAATAGGAAAAAAAGCAGACCTATGCTTGCTACAGATTCCAGTGTCGGCGTGCTCCATGAAGGGAATATACGATGCAAATAACTTTTGTTTCTTCCCAGTACCGATGGGCCCAATAGAACTCCACCCTGCACAAATTCTCATCAACGTTAAAATTATTCCCAGCACTTACGACAGAACAAAACAAAACATAGCGACAAGCTGTTTCAACTGTTCTACAACTAGAATTAGCGTATCTGCGTTAACGCAAACTTCATTGGATGTGAAATTGTATTTAATTCTAGTCTTTGAAATTAATGAAATTGATTGGTTTGAGTGGGACATACCACAATCTCGGCAATAACTTTTGGCTGTCGGAGAGGTTTGAGAAGTAAAGCGAGGGTGCGAGTGACTATGAGGACCAAGGTGATTTGAACTATGAGGAGTGGGAAGGCATAGTCTAAAGGATTATCACCTTGCCACACTCCATTAGAGGATGTCTTGATCGATGTTATGTTAAACGGCATGATTAATTGCCGTCACAATTTATACATCCACACTGTTCTTGAAAGCTAGTTATTGAGACCAATGTGTTGCTAAGAGAGCACTTGGACATGTGTGTATTTATAGACGATCACGAACAAGGTCACAGCTTTGGTTTCCATTAGACTTCTTGCCAGTTTCTCTGTTCCCATTTCTTTCATCTTTCTTATTCCTCTTTGGCGGTGATTGAAAAATCATCTCCTACGTAAGTATACCTGTGATTTGGCGTATCCAATCATCTCGTTTCGAATCCTAAAATTATAAAAAAATAATAGAAAATAAAAATTATTCAAATATAAATTTGCATTTAACCCCAAATCAAACATTAATTCATATACTACAAATATTTTTTCTATTTAATAATATTTTTTAAGCTATAGACATCATGTTATTTAATAATATTTTTTCTTTATTACCAATATCTTATCAAGCAAAAATAAATCATACTATTCCCATTGTTCACAGTACAGAGTGAGTCATACTAAACAAGCAAGTCGCGTCAACGAGAGTGGAAATTTTTATAATATGTTGTAAGAAATAAATTTTCTGCCAATAATTTTTTTTTATTATAAAAAATATGATATTTTATTACAAATTTTAAAATTTATATATAGTTTTTCTTTTATATTTTTAGATTTTACAGAATTCATACAATTTTATTTAATTTCTAAATATTAATATTATAAAAAATAATTAAATTATAATTATTGTAATTGTACGTTGTACTTCACACAAAGAAGGTGTATTGGAGAGAAGATAATAAAACTCATCTTTAACACTGAATCAAATCGCTAAGTTATTTAAATAAAAATTATAAAGTCATGCATATAATACCTAACAAAATGAAACTATTGAATCTAACTACAATTTTTCACTATTAAGACGCTACCTACATTTAAAAAGGGTTTACATAAAAAATGGTAATCAAGCTCTAATATATGGTTGGGTTGGCGTATGACATGAAGAGTGGGTAATGAAACGTGATTGGGAAGTATCTGAGGTAATCGTATTACAGAAAGAAAGTGACTAAGAAAACTACACATGTACTCAAATACTGCACTTTAAGTTTTTCCACTAAGTACGTGATTAAATAAATAGTGGAAAAACTAAATAAATGGCCCTCTTTCTCTTTGACACGTACCACCCAACCCTTGTTCATATAGCTTAGTCAAATTGGCCTCTAATAAAAGTCTTGTCCGCCACTTTTTAAAAAAAAAAAAATCATTTTTCTCAAGCTTTATTTATTCTCACCACACACTAAAGAGTATTGAATTTATTTATTTATTTATTTGACAAATTGTAAACCGTACTTTGGTTTATAATACGTTGCAATTGTTCATTACATTAACCCACCTCAATATTTATTTTTATGTTATAAATTAAAATAATAATTTAAACTTTGAAACTCTTAGAATATGTTTGCATTCTCAGTTCTTGACTCTGTATTAAAAAAATTATAAAATACTTTATACTGCTCAATATTTAACTTTTCATAGAAACTGTATTAAGGGAAGAAAATTATTTTTCGAATCTAATATTATTTTGTTGACTTATATATATTCTCAACATTTTCTTTCTCCCAACAATTAGCGTGCATTTGGATCTTCAAATTACACTTATCTAATATTTTAACAATTTTAATATAAATGTGTAAAATAATTTTATAAAAAATTACTATTTGTATGAATTTTAAATCATTATTATAAAAAATTATTATATTAATAATTTGTGATGGAATAATAAGATAAACACTCTTCCAAACTATAGGTCAATCCCGTATTCATTATACATTTTTAAAAAATGTAAACCCTATCATGGTTTATTAAAAAACGAAAATATTGTTATGAGTTAATTGCATATTTTTCCCTTACTTTTTCGATTGTGTGAACTACATTTGTCATGAAATTACTTTTCTCGTGTTTTTACCTACTATTTTAAATCTAGTCTCTTTTTTTTTAATATTGCATTTAAAACATTTTTCCTTATTAATTTAATAACTACTGCAAATGTTTATATTTAATGTTTTACAACCACATATTAATGTTTCTTTTTTTATCTGTACAATGATTATGATTAATACGTGTTAGGAGAGGAATCCAAAATTATTGATGTATACATGTGAGGAGTGGATTGGTTCGAAAGGGAAGAAAAATATGCTTCGTCACTAACAAAATAAAAAGAATTAAGAACAATCTCAAAATTCCACTTTCCAATGGAAATAGATAAGGATTAAACCTCAAAACGTCATTTGATTAAAAAAAAATCTCAAATTGTATATATCTTGAACGGAAAAAAATATACAATACACCTATGGCCACTATATTATATTACTACTATTAATTATTAATTTAATAATAATAATAATAATATACACTAATGAGTTTCGTTTGATTTAAAATCAAGCGCTTAAAATAATTTATATGTATCCTTTTCTTACACACCATCGTTTAAAAATAAAATTATAATAAATAAAAATTCTAAATAAATAATATTTTAAATATATTATTAAATAAAACATTAATTTTTTTAATCCATATGATATTTATAAATATATTAAAATAAATAATAATAATAATAATAATAATACTAATAATAAATTAGAGTATTGATCTTTCTTTTTCAACCGTATAAGCCACTATCATTATCTTAAGAAAAAGTCACAATCATTGGCTTTATTTTTCTTTAACCACGAAAGAGGCAATAGAACGAAGACACACACAAAAATAGAAAAAACATATGACATTATAATAAGTTGCATGGTCAGTTATTAACTGGTGGAAGAATCCTGATTGAACTTTTTTCTTCCTATCAACTATTAATTTTGTTTCATTCAAAAGCAAATTTATTAATTTGATGAAACTTGTTCATTATTCGTGTATAATAAAAATTTAAAATTATATACATTATAAAATATATTAAAAAAATTTCAACAAGGAAAAGATATCAGGATAAAGAAAATTTTTAAATGATTTATTTTTAATTTTCAAATTAAAATAATATATATATATATATATATATATATATATATATATATATATATATATATTTTAATTATTTATAAGTGAAAAAATATATTTTTAATTTTAAGCATTCAGTTTGAGAGATTAAAATAAGTTTTTTAATTATTTTTAATCTTTTAGATAAAAAACAATTATTATAAGTTTTAAAGCCTAAAAATATAATCAAACTTAAATAAAATTCAGACAGTTTGCGCTAGACATTAGAAGAAGTTTATTATACATGATAGTCTATGTAAATGAAAAATATTCTTATTAAAATAATATTTATATATCTACAAATATTTAATATTAATTAACTAATTAAGATATTAAAATATTTATTATTTTTTTAACTTATGCACTAAATATACAGGATAAAAAAGTATATACAGAATAAAATTAATTAAAAGCATTTTGGTCAAATCAATTAAACTTAAAGACAAATTATTTTTTATCTTTACAAGCTTTTGAAAACCAGAGTATAACAATTTCTTAAATGCGATGATATTTTATGCAGAAAATATAGATTACAATGTCAAGAATTTAATGTTGAAAATCATGGTATTTTAATAAATATAATAAATTTTAAAATCTGGAATTTATATAGAAAATATCTATTAAAATATTATTAATTAATTATCAATTATTAAAATAATAACTATGTATTTCAAGTAAAACCTTAAGAAATTTTGTGTTGTAAAAATGAAAAATATGTGTATCCTTATACACATATTTTGGAAGTAAAAACATATAATAAAAAATATTATGAAGTGAATTAAAAGTGTTTATGTTGGTTAATTTGCGCACTAATAAAGAAGAAAAGATGAATAATATTTCTTAAAACATTCAGTAAGAGATTTAAGTGGAAGAGCACATTATTGAGTAAGTGGCATTGTAAGTGTTGAGTAAGTTAATTAATCTTCAATTTCAGAAAATTGGAATGAACATGTTCAACACCGCGTGTACATTTAAGAGCATATGTCAACTCGTTGACAAAAAAATAAATAAAAAAATGCACACTACATCTACCACTGTTAGGTGAGGGCCTGATTATCAAAATAGACAGTTTAATTGGTAGGTATGAAAAAGGTTACTTCACATCAAGATTTTATTGCTTAAATTGAATCAATTTTTTTAAAATTTTGTAATTTATAGTATAAATAAATTTAATTTATCTGTTTCATAAAATAATAGTTTTATTTTTTTAATATAATATTTATTTAATACATATTATAACTTATATATATATATATATATATATATATATATAATATCTAAAATTACAAAAAAAAATAACTATTCATAAAAATTAAAGTTTGAATATTTTTTAAACGTACCAAATATCCATTAATTTGTTAACTCTATATAGAATCAGATAAAAGTTTAAAATATGCGCTGAATTGTTTGAAAAGAAATAATGATAAAAATAAATATTTTTATCATAAAGACTTACGAGACTGGTTTTGTATATAAGTTTAAAGTTGTGTAACTAATAAGTGTTTATTGATTTAATATTCGTATTTTTGTTGAATTTTTTATTCTTGATTAATTTTCATGATTTTTTTTATTGATATAATTATATAGTATTCTCTTTTGTTTCATTTTATTATGATAATACCTTCAATATGGATAATTGGTATGTAAGGTTTATATTTTTATTTCTAAAATGGTATGATGTCATATTTTAGAATAAGATTTAAAAATATAATATTTAGTTAAAGCTGTAGGAACTTCATGACTTTTTTTCATAAATAATACTGTTTTTAAAAATATTTTCCAAAATAGCACCTCTCGCAACTTTATTTACACAATTAGCACGGTTTACTGTTCACGTAATAAAATAATATTATTTTGCGCAACTATTTACTGTTCACGTATTAAAATAATATTATTTCGCGCAATGAACTCTCGCTCAAGCGAAGACCCTTCGCTTGAGCGACGAAATCCGTAAGAACGCAGTTATCTCTGGTCAACTCTCGCTCAAG